TTTTTTTGCTACATTTTTTTATTTATTCGTTTTGTTAAAATTTTATTGTGTCATGCACCTTATTTTTGCGTTTTTGAAATTATGCAAACCACATTTTCTTCTGGTGGCCTGTCTATAAACTTACAAATAACCACATAGCAAATCATCAAGTTAAGCAAAACGTTTATATTACGATTCATTCAAAAAAGAAAAGAAATCCTAAGTAAGAGAAAATGTCTATTCTCTTCGATAAAATAGTATTATTTCTGTACTTTAGAGGATGATGTTTTAAGTTTTGTTTTTATTTCTTAAAAATTGGTGTTTTCGCTCTAATTAATAAATTTTTTTAGGGTATTTCCAGTCCACCTCTATTTTTTTTTCTTAATATAGAGAAAAAAATAGCAATCATCTATTTTATCTTCAACCTACTTCTATTTTTATTTTTAAAATAGAAATTGCTATTTTTTGCTTTTATATGTAGAGAAAAAAATGGACAAATACTAAAATTTAGTATAAAATAGAAGAAAAAATAGCATTATTCTAAAATAGAAGATACATTGAAAAAAAAATATAAAGTTTTTACTCTGTTTAAGAGTATAAAATAGATAATACATTAGAGATAGTCTTACAACATGAATTTTATTGGTACTAATATGATTTAATTATCTTGAAAAGTGATAAATTGTGTTAAAAATTGCTGAATTTAACTTTTTTTTTTTATTATACGTGCAACATTCAAAACATCATTCTCTAAATAACGGAATGGGTATTGTCTAAAAAAAAAGAAGAAGTTATAATCAAAATCTGGTTGCATAAAAAACGACTATAAATAAATTGGGCCCACATTGATCAGATGGACGAAAAGTTCCAATCATATCGATCCAATTCATATTTGATGGTTGTCAAAGCATATGTAGCTGGATTAAGTGGGGCCCATTATTGAAAACGATTATGATCAACCGTTAGATCTCATCTCAACTTTTTGTTTTCTAAAATCTTTAATCCTGACCGTCCAATGTTTTTTTTCTCAATTTAATTTACGATCATCTGCCCTTTTATCGTGTCACTCGGACCCTCACTTTTAATGCTGATTTAATATCCTTTAAGGAAGAAAAATCTTGTTGCAACAATTTTTCAAAGGTAGGAATAAATTTTGATGCTGATTTAATCGACCACTATGATTAAAATAGTTACGACTCATGATAATGTTAAAATGATTCAATAGGTTATTTTCTGAATATGTAATTCTGCCAGTGTAAAATGTTTACATATATGCTTTTAAATAGTTATATGATTTAACAAGTAACCGGTTGAGTTATAAAAACAAAAAAGTTGTGACCCAAAAAAACAAAAAAGTAACCGGTTGCTATTGAATAAATAAAAGAAGATTTCTCATTACACATCTAACCATGTCTAATGTAC